CTTGTATCTCTGGTGCTTTGATGCAGGGAATCAGACTGGCGCTCATTGACTGAGCTCAGCCATGCGTGGGCTGATTCTACATTATAGTCAATACTGGATGAATGCCTGGCCCTGTTTGTGAAAAAAATCCTCAGGCCAAAGTGCTGCAGCCTACACCCAAAAGCCTTCTGAAAAGCAGTCGCATGCGCACAGAAAACTAATACGTACATTTACAGTCAGGCACTGCTGACGTGCGCACACACACACACACACACACACACACCATCTAACAAAGACCTCATGAAATATTTGCGGTTTTAAAATAATCAACTGTGCCTCTTCAGAAAAACAGGTTGAGTACACTCTTGCTAACACTACTGCTTCATGGATGGAGTGTGATGTACAGAAACTCAAAAAATAATCCTGTAATAACCTGGAAGATGGCGCCTGAGCTCGTACAGTAATAGTGATTCTCCATTTACACTATGCTTTTCCAGCCCCTTGCAGAAAGAACGCCTCATGATTTTTAGGATTGTGAAAAATGCTTGTGCAGAAATTTGCTTTTACGCCATGCCAGGCAGCAAAACAGGTTTCAAATGATCAGCTAAAGCTAGCGGGCAAAGTAAATGAGTAAGGGACACTAAAGGAAAAAAATCTATGTATAAGATATTGATAAAGAAGAAAGACACAATTATGGATAAAGTGGACTAATAAAACTGACCAGATAATTGCAATCAATAAATACATTTCTGTAAATATTTCAATACAACTGAAAAACATGCTTTCAAAAACACTTGAAGTACTTTGAAAGAATTACAAGATAGTCTTCATTTGGGTAAATACATCCAACAAACTGTTTACCTACTGTGGGTGGGTAGGTTTTCTTTTAACAAGCAGCATTGCTTAATACTCCACAGCTAGTTATAGTACCTATGGTGTATCATATTCTTGACTTATGATACAATGGATACAGCCAGTGTTTCCCACTGTTAGGATGACAGCAAGTTCAACAGAAGAGCAGAGCCCAAACATCAGCCATCAGTTTTTTAAAAAATTAAAATAAGTTGCCAGCTGCTGACTGATTTCAGCACCATGGACAGAGCTATCAGAAGGGCTGTCACTTTTACAAAAAAGCTCGATTGATCTGAATTCAACACACAGCCTGTTCTAAAAAAGACTACTGCGGTCACACTGGAAAACACACCATAGAAAATTATATTAAACTAGAAAAAACAAATCTGTTAACAGAAGGTTCAGTAGTTTTAATGTAAAGTTTGAATACTAAAACTGAAAATAAAGGTTTGATAAAAAAAAAAGTATTAGGCTAATAGTATTGAATTTATAAGGTAAACTAAGGTGAGGGTTTTATACTTGTGAAAACTCACCCCCACCTGAGATGAGTCTGCCTACAGGTGGGAGATCGACCATCTGGTGACCTGGTGCAGCCAGAACAGTCTGGAGCTCAACGCTCTGAAGACCTTGGAGATGGTCGTGGACTTCAGAAAGAGCACAGCCCGACCCTCCCCCATCATCCTGTGTGACTCCTCAGTCACCACTGTGGACTCCTTCCGCTTCCTGGCCACCATCATCTCCCAGGACCTCAAGTGGGAACTGAACATCACCTCCATCATCAAAAAGGCCCAGCAGAGGATGTACTTCCTGCGGCAGCTGAAGAAGTTCAGCCTGCCAAAGACAATGATGGTGCACTTCTACACAGCCATCATTGAGTCCATCCTCACCTCCTCCATCATCATCTGGTACTCTGCTGCCACTGCCAGGGACAAGGGCAGGCTGCAGCGCATCATTCACTCTGCAGAGAAGGTGATTGGCTGCAATCTTCCTTCACTTCTGGACCTGTACACCTCAAGGACTCTGAGGCGAGTAGGAAAGATTGCAGCTGACTCCTCCCACCCTGGACACAAACCGTTTCAGACTCTCCCCTCTGGCAGGAGGCTGCAGTCCATCAGGACCAAAACTCTCTTCCGTTGCGTTACTTCTGCACAGCACAGACCCAGAATAATGCTCATGTATATATCTGCAACGTTGTTCTTCTATTCCATATTTATATATTTCTACATTTATTTATGTTGACTGTATGTTTGTCTACGTGTAGCACCTCATCACCACAGCAAATTCCTCGTACACTACTTGGCAATAAAGCTCCTTCTGATTGTGATTCTTCTTCTGATTCTGAAAACAAAAACCATGTTGTAATAACAGAAAGAAAAATCACAATAATAAATCGAGCAGGATCTTGCAGTCTGAAACGCAACAGTTTTTCTCTTACAAAATGAACAGTTCACATCAATATGAGGTTTAAACTTTGTCAATAATCTTGTATGACACTTCTCTTATCTTATTCATGATCAAATATTAATGGTGTGCCCAATGGTTTGGGATTGACCTCTAATGTGGAAATAGTTATCGTTTATATCTTGGTTCATTTAAGTGCAGGGTTAAATAAAGAGAAATGGTATGCTCAAAGCAATAATGTGTATTTCAATAAAAGGACTCCATGGCTGCTGTGAGTGCAAGGACATTAGTAGAGAGTAACAAGTGTTGTAATTTTAAACTTTGTGACCTTCTGCTACTCTGCCCAGGCTATTTTATCTGTCCCGCCTATTTTATTTTATTCTCAGTGCACAAGGCAGTGTCTTTATTAAGGGAAGGGTGTGGAGAAATGGAGAAGTCTAGAATGTCATATCCAACATGCCTCCTTACATAACTTCTTAGATGTTTACCCTGTTCAGTATGGCTCACTGGTGTCCTTTATTTTGCGCTGGTCAACAATCAGCTCAGTTTACTGATAAGATAACAGGACCTGCACTCGGTCAGTCAAGGTTAGTTGCGCTTAAACATTTTAATTTAATTTTAATTATTTCAATTTTTTTTAACAGATCACTGCAGATCAAATCAGGTTTTTTCCCATCAAATAAAAGCCTCAGCTCTCAGCAACAGGAACACAGTGCAGACTGAAGACTACAGGGCAGCATGTACTGACACCCCTTTTAAAGTGTTTCTGCAGAGCACGTCAGTCATCTGTCTCCTGGAACAGATGTGCTTGTATTTCTACAAATGTATCACTCCACATCAACTCTGACAGGCCTGCATGTGTCACATGTCAGCACTGCCTGTGTTTTTTAAGTTTCAATTCTCTTGCTTCAATTTTCTAAATGTTGTGAAATAAAAATCTAGAATCGACCAGTGTCAGGGTGGCATCATGGCTGGATAGTTATTTCTCAACTATTTTCACAACATTACTGGATGCTTTGGGGTTTCTGGTGAAAACACAAATTCTCACACCAGATATGGAAGTGAACATTTTTTTCCCCCAAGCCTCGTTTTCTTGCATTCAACACCAGTGGTCATTGTTTGAATTTGACTGGTTTACCAGAAAGCACATGAAGTGTACAGTATTTTAAATAGTCATTACATTCCCTTTTAAATCAAGAGGCGAGAGACTAAAGTCTTGAAATATCACACTATAATATTATCTGTTTCTGAAGGTTCTTAGTCATCCAGGTCATAGTTATCGAAGGAAGGTTAAAATCAAGACTTGGTTGAAGATACTTGAATAGGTAGAGGTTAAATAGCTAAGTTTCTCTACCAGTCACAACTGAAGAAGTCTCTCGGTTGGGAGACAAAAAATCTATGAGCATATTCAACCAAGTCCAGTTGCCCTTGATTTTAATCTTCCTTGGATATATAATATCATCTGTATTCCTGTACACAGTAACAGACTAATGCTGATCTTGAATCAATTTTGATGCCACATTGAGCAACCTAAAAGTCATGGTCGTGTGTCTTCAGCCTGTCTGTAGGGCAGTGCAGTCTTGCAGCTAGGAACCTTTGTTGTGTTTTTGGAGAACACTTGATCAGATACAAGTAGGTTTTGTTGAGAGGAGAGGAAGCTTTTTACCCAGTCAAGCGTGTACAACCTGAGATAAGAGAAAAAGAGGCAGGGAATGAGTTGTTCTAAAGGGAGGCCATCTTGATACGGTCATCAGTGTGAAGCCCCTATAGAGCCTCAGACATTCACTGCAGTCCCCACAGCAGCAGAGGGAAAGAATGAAAACCCCTGACTACCTTCTGGAAATTTTATGAAAGCGAGATGTGGAGATGTGATCCAAGCAGTAGCCCATATCCATTCTGTCTTGTAATGGAAATGTGACACGGGGGACTGAGTAAGTACAAACCCATTGACTGTGTGAGTGTGTATGTGGTGAGAGAGTGGCGAAGATTGGATGTGTGACAGAAAAAATGAAAAGGTAAAGAAAAAATCCAAAGATAGAGAAACATAGAAAGGGTGAGAGTAAGCAACACATACGGATGAGAGAAATACATAGTCCTCATCCTCAGCTGGGGAATCGAGCCAGAAACAGATAGAGGGAGAAGTCCAACACTATCCACAACACCTCTAACAGCAGCTGCACAGTGATATTGATCACTTGGTGGCCCCAAGACATGTTGTGAACTACAAACAGCCATTATTTTAGAGACACATGCACTCACACCTTTGTGTTTGCCAAAAACAGGGCATGAGGGCAAAGAAATACAATGTACCTGCCTGCTGACAGATTTCCACCTTATTTTTAATTAAATATACTTATTTAATGAGAGCAGGTTAATGTGATGTTTAAAACCTGGGGAAATTCTGATTTCCTTTAAATTAAATTTATTACAAAAAACTAAAGATAAACCATGCACATAATCCAAGAGGTCTTCGTACCACAACAAAATCGGTAATTTGTGAGTGCCAAAAACAAATTTCATGAGCATCTTCTGATCTTCCACCTATATATGTTTAAGGTTTGGTTTACTTAAGGCAACTAACTTTTACATTTTCTCGGAAATTACGCATTTATATGCCACAATACAAAAACTCAGATTCTGGTCCTAACAACATTTTTGACCACATGTAAAGTTACTGTTCTACTTTGTAAAGTATGGTACACACATATCTCCAACTTTTACACAAGCTTCCAGAGGAAAGACAAAAGTGGTGCATCCTTATCACTCACCTCGGTCGGTGTCATACAGGAAGACAAACTTGTTCCAGTCGTAGTGGTCGAGGAGAGACAGGAGCGCCCCCCGGATGGATGGCCGGAGCTGCAGGGTGAACTGGCTCTCGCCCTCCGTGGGGAAGCTGGGCGTGATGAGGGAGATGTGCAGGGCGCTGCAGAAGGACGTCAACGTGTGGACCGAGCGCTTGTCGTACAGGCCGAAGATGGCGAAGACACCGCGGGAATACTGGGAGCAAACTGGGGAAGAAAACAACAAAAATAAATAAATAGGTAGCATACAATTGGTTTGTCAGAGCCTTTTCCATGAAAACAGCTGTCTGCTGTTGCTGAAAATGAGGCTGACAAGAGTGTTTTGTGAAGTTTGTCGGCTGGAAACCAAAGCAATGAAAAGTTGTAGAGCTGAGAGGAACTGCAGAGCTGGGTGATGTGTGTGGATACATCATTACAAATGACACAGCAGCATTTGATCAATTGTTAACATATGACAATATTAGACGAAACACATTTAAAATATATATATATATTTTCTCTTTGGTCCCTCCTATTTGAAAAATTTGGTTGTTCATAAGTTTTTGTTTTAATTATTCTCAAATCAAGAACACTTTCACAACAAGAACGTGGTCAGGCTGTGAATCAGTTTACTTATCTTTTATTATGCATATTTCCATGATAATTTCATTGTGTAGAAGCAAAACAACAACACACAAAATGAGGGCTCATCTCCAGAGAAACACATATTTTAAATTATATAAATCTTGGCACATTGCCAGGAAACTGATCCTGGCACAGACAAAGCAATGTTTTCAGCTTGCTTTGGGATATATAGAAGAAACTGGGTAGTTAACATGAGCAGTGACAGCCATCATATTTGACAAATGCACCTGAACAGATAATGAAGACAATCATCACGGTTTTGAATAACAATTGATGGCTGGGAAATGCGGTGCAAAAATCACCAAAGCAATGGATGCTTAGCACCACGACTAGAGACAAAATAACAAACCATTATCCCACTGATTACCACTTTAAATCCTTTCAAGAGAACTGCTGAATGCAGTAAACAGAGATCAAAACCAAATGCATCCGTTTCCTCTGATGCTTTCATCTCAAAAGCTGTTCTCTTCCCTCATTTAAACAGCAACAACAGTACCAACATTTCCTAGCGGCGCAGTGAATCATTCCCATCACCGTTGTGTAGATATATTCTGGAGGACATATTCCCCATTAACAAAAACACATCGCATTCATGTTGCGCTGCTTCATGACTTCAAGCTAGCACAAACTGAACTTGCATCTGTTTTTTTTTTTATTGGTCAGACTGAATCAAATGGAAAGTTTATAAATTTTCATAAAGTCTACACAAGCTGTGCTGTACACAGTGTGTCTCCTGCTTAAGGAGATCTCCTCATTATAGAAAGGTTTGGCTGTCTACAAGAGCCATACTATAATTGCTCTTTTTACACACACACACACACACACACACACACACACACACAGAACAACAACAGAAAGGGAAGATAATGAGCATCCTCTGCCAGTTTCCGGCTATGAGGAGAATCAGAGAGAGCGGTAAACTGAAGGAAGGGCTCAAGATGTTGCACTTGTTAAAGGAAAATGGGGGGTGGGGAAGCAAACAAGAGGGCTGCTTTACTGACAAACCCATTGTTTCCATGCAGAGTGCAGTACTCTACTGTAGAGATAGATAGAGAGAGAGAAAGATAGAGAGAGAGAGTCTGTGTCGTTTCTGATCTGCCTGCAGCTTCCTCCCTCAGTGAGAACAACAAGACAACAGTCAGAGAGACAGAGAGAGGAAAGCCTGCTTCTTCTGTTGTACACACAATTAACGTACATGGAGGTGCCGGGAACTACAGTGTCAGGAAAAACACGGCAGTCAAGGCTGTGCTGTAGTCAGGTTTGTTGTAATATCACAGCTCAAATTTGCTTTCCCTCATAAAAAGTCATGACTCATTTAAAGTCAGTGTTGGCTGGGGAGATGTTAATATAAATATTGTATCTTCACGTCTCCGAAGACCTGCATTTGACTTGAAAAATACCTGCGAGTAATCTCAAAAATGAACCTGTCGACATCCTTCTTTGCAAGGAAAATTCATGATAAAGTGATTTCCAAATATGCTGTTAATTTAATTCAAGTCACCCTCCACTCAAATATATCCTTTGCTAATTGTTACTTCAGTGTCTGTTTTCACATTCTTCTGCTGAAAAGGATAGTTTCTCTCTGCTCTCACTAAATCTCAGTTGAAGACATGGTGCAACTTATACAAGTGTGATTGTAGACAAACCCGAGAACAGATTTTCCAGTGAAGCAGGAGTCCCGCAGATAAGGTTTTGGAACAAAAAGCATCATATTTATTTATGTATTAAAACATGTCTAGAGGGGATCTTTAAAATTTTGCTGAAAGGGAGAAAAAATGGTCTTTGGAGATACAGCAGAAATGCCCCTTTAGCCTCTATGCCTCTGAATGTACATTTTTGATTGACAGCTAGGCCATCAAGGGCACCAAGACCTAAACATTTTGTACGAAACTAAAGAAAAGACCACAGCATATGAAATTATGGATGTTGACATTTTATATTTATGTATTTAAGCTGTTAAGTGTGCTACAGTTGGCTAGATAATTTGCAAGGTAGTTATTTGCTAAAAACTCTCCCTTTGTGGATGTTTGTTTGGTCATTCGGCTAGCTAAGGTACAACACAAGACGTGTCGACACTTGTAGATAAGGAGACATTAAAACAGTTATCATCAATACTGTATTTTTATATTAAAACTGAATCTTATGATTTCTTGTATGTGAAGGGAGTTGCTTGTAGTGACAAACTGACAGAGATATGGCTCTGTATTATGTGCCTAGCATCATAAAGCAGACAGGCAGTAAGCTGGTGAACATAGTGGAGCATTTAGCAGCTAAAGAGACAGATATTCCCCTCAGGAGTAACCAAAATAGATTTAAATCAGGTGGCCCGAAACACAACTTAATAATGAATGATAATGTTTGCTATCCGGTTCACCATTTTAACTTAAATAATGCGATAATATGTAAAAGTTGTGTTTCTGTTGCTCACCAGTTAGTGCGGGTGTAAAGACAGATTACGGATGGTTTTCAATGTCTGCTGTCTCTGCCAGCCAATGATAGTATTGCTTAATTCAAATATAATTAAAGGTAAAAATGTTAAATATAAATGACTTGATTATATGCAGACATTCTGCCTAAGTAGGCAGAGAAACAACAGTATTCGTACTGGTGTTGAACCAGCAGCGCCATGAAAAACCAAAACCAACAGTTTTCTGTGTGGGTATTGTTTTTCTCTCTGAAGAGAGCAAGTAATTTACAGAGACAATCTATATGCTAAAACAGAAAAAAAACAACTTAATTTCAGTTGGACTTAAATCTGTCAAATTATTGTAACATTTCAATGAACACAAATAACTGCTCATATTTGCACATTTGGACACATCTGCTCCCTGAGGATCACAGTGACTAACATTTACTGCAAGGGTGTGTGTGTGTGTTTGTGAGTGTCCACATTAAGGGATGAAACCTCGCAGGAGTTGTGGCAGAGAGAGTGTCCACTCAACCAAGAAAGGAGTCGAGGGGTTAGAAAATCCACACAGTCCACTGATGGCCCCTCAAGGGACGGGATGACATAAACACAGACATACACAAGAACACAAAACCACATACTTCTCTAAATCCTTATATGTCAAATTACACTCTCTTTCTAGATGCTACAGCACATTGCGATTATGCAGAAATACCTGTTTGAATATCAATACATTAATATGCATGTAAGGAAACCTGACAGTCTGAGATCAAAGCCTGACAGTCATGCTTAAACTTTGTCTCCCCCTGCTGTGTTCGTCTCTAATTACTTCCTGTTTCATACGACTAGGGTTTAACTTGTGTGCTTATTTTGTAATAAAACCAATAATACATCAGAAACAATACTAATACAACAACTACAACCCATAATAACTTACTTTACTATTGCTACCATACCTTTAAATGCTACCCATATCACATATATGGTGATTGAGATTCGAAATCAGCCTGGTAAATGTTCTCCTCCTGCCACTCTTGCATCGAGACAGCCAGATAAACCCAATAAACCAATAGTAACTGGATTTATTATGATAACACTGATAGAAATCCATCTTAAGCACACTCATATTCACATTTACAGCATAAACATGGTGGAGGACAAAGGAAAGAACGTAAGTGACAGCACTAATCAATCTACATATAAGTAAATGTTAGTTTTGCTAAATCAGTAGCAGCAACAATTACAAGGTTCTAAAAGTTTTTTGCTGTTCTCATTGTAGTAGAAACTGTAAAATCCTGTGTGGATTAGGTGTAGAAATTCTGAAGGGTACTCACCAACTTGCGGTGTTGTCTTTGCCATTTTTCTTACACTTCCTAAAGTGTTACTAAGATATTTTTATGGAGGTAAATATGTTTTCATGTACAATTCGAACACTTTCTGGGACACATCAAGTGGTGCTTTGTATATTTCCAGTTTATATTGAATAATTAAAAGACAAAAGAAGTGGAAAAAGTACTCTGATCTTTTACTTAAGTAAAAGCAGCAACTCCACAGTGTAGAAATACTGTTACATGTACCAAAAGTAAAACTACTGATTTGGTAAAAAGGCCCATTATGGAATCATATATTTTATTACTGGATTATAATTATTGATATGTTAATGGTGAAATCACATTAATGTTGCAGCGGGAAAAGGTGGAGCCTTGGAGGACCTTGTGAATTTAGCCCCCAGGAATCAGTAAAGTCTTATCTTAACCCATGATACACTGTAATTGGTTTGGTGATTATATAAGGTATTGTAAATATGAATCAGTATCTAGTAATTAAATTTAACAAATAAGTGTCGAATAAAGTATAAAGTACAATATTTCAATCTGAATTGCAGTGGAGTAGAAGTAATACTCAATAGTACCTCAATATTGTACTTAAGAACAGTACTTGTGTGTATGTGCTTATTTGCTTTCCATCACTGTTAAAAGAAAAATCTTCTAGCCACAAAAATGTTCTAAAACACCATCATCAAAAACACCAGCGTAAGGTTTGGAAATCCTGAAGCAGCTGTCTGATTGGATGTCTATCAGACGCGTCATCTTTGATCCTGGAATATCCCATAAAGTTTTTCACTATGTGATCAGTCCAACTCTGAACATAACAAAGGATTCCTTCGAGGTCACAT